TTAATTATTTTTAAAATATAGATAAAAATATTTTAATTTTTTTTTCATAATATTTTATTAAAATGATATAATTTTAAAATATTTTTTATCTAATTTTTTACAAGTTCAACTAATAAACATTAATCTCTTATATAATAATTGTAATCTTAATAATATAAGGAAAAAGTGCTTAACTCTTAAAAAAAATTAACATTAAATTATTTTATTTTATTTAATTAAAAATTTATTTTATTAAATATTAATATCTAAATTCAAAAAGTGATTATATTAAAATATATATCTAGATATTAATATTTAATAAAATGAATTTTTAAATTTTAAATTGAGATTTTAATTTTTGATATTTTTAATTTGTTAGTGAATCCAAACTCAACTAAGTTATTTTTCGATTACTCTTTATATACCCAAGAGCAAATCACCATATTCTTGCAAATTTCTCTGTGGAATCCTTCTTCCCAATTTTATCAATAATGCATGCTTTGAATTTGAAAAATCCAATTAACTTTCCAAACATATCAACTCCCTATTACCATCAACAAACTAAACCATTAAGTAGAATAAAAATTAGTATTAACTTGAAAACGATTATATAATCAAAACCATAATAAACATACATGAAAATGAAGCAAGTATTCTTAACTTTTCTTTTCTTTTCTTTTCTTTTTTAGTAGTACATTTTACTCTTTAATTTAACAAAAAAATCAATAACAAAAAATACCTTTATAATAGGGAAGGCCCTGCAAAGTTAATCAAATTGCCGGCGATATCTTAAAAAAAAATTGCATAAATTTAATCACACATCTAAAAATTTAAAATGATGGTCATAAACAAAAAACTAAACAATCACAAAACTTTGGTAAAAAAAAAAAAAAGAAAAGAAAATTCATAGAAATATTCTAATGGAATAAAAATCTACGCACATGGACTAAAAAAAAAAAACGTACCTAGACCAAAAAAAAAAAAAGAAAAGAAAAACAATTTGAAGCCTATAGAATTCATCTCAGGTTTTTTTGTTTTACCTCTTTCTCTCTTCCCTCTTTGGAGACTGCTTTTCTCTTTGCTTTTTCCTTTTGTCCATCTCTCTATGTAAATAGGAAATATATCGAACCCTAACGTTATATAATTGGAAAGATAACAAAAAATAAGTTAAAGCAAATCTAATTCGCTTTCTAAACATATCAATTCCTTGTTACTATCAACAAACCATCAAGTAAAAAAAAAAAAAGAGTATTAATTTAAAAACGATTATGGCTGATCAAAAAAATAAAAAAATAAAAACGATTATACAACAACCATAATAACCATACATGAAAACGAAGGAAGTATTCTTGACTTTTCTTTTCTTTTTTTGTTAGTAGTAGATTTTTGCTCTAAAATGTAAGAAAAAAAAATCAATAACAAAAAATGGCTTTATACTAGAGAAAGCCCTACAAAGTTAATCAAATTGCCAGCAATATCTAAAAAAAAAAAAGGCATAAATTTAATCACACATTTAAAAGTTCAAAATTTAATGATCATAAGCAGAAAACTAAACAATCACAGAACTTTGGTCGAAAAAAAGAAAAGAAAAGAAAAGAAAGCTGATAGAAATGTTCTAATGGAATAACAATCTGCGCACCTAGACTAAAAATAAAAACACGTACCTAGACAAAAAAAAAAAAAAAAAAAAAAAAAAATTCGAAGCCTATAGAATTCATCTCAGGTTTTTTTTTTTTTTTTCCTCTTTCTCTCTTCCCTCTCCGGTGACTGCTTTCCTCTTTGCGTTTTTCTTTTGTCCATCTATCTGTATAAATAGGAAATAAATTGCAACACTTACACTATACAATTGGAAAGATATTAAAAAATAAGTTAAGGCAAATCCTACTAATAAAGAATTTTGATTAAATTTTTTTTTTTGAAAAAAAAAAACAAATCTTAGTAAGGTTTGATATATTTTAATATTAATATGTTAGATTTGAATTACTTTCTAATAATTTTTTTTTAAAAAAAAAAACTCATTGGGTTTTTATTTTTATAATAGAGAAGGTCCTATGAAGTTAATCAAATTGCCAACAATATAAAAAAAAAAAAAAATTGCATACATTTAATCACACATTTAAAAATTTAAATTTGATGATCATAAGCAGAAAACCAAACAATCACCAATAAATGTTTTTTTAAAAACCCATTATGTATTTATTGAAGATTTTTTTAAGGCAAATATGTTGAAGGCCCAATGAATATTTATTTAAAAGTTTCAAGAGAAATTTTATTGTTATATCAGTTTCATATATAGTTAAGATTAAGATATCAACCTGCAGATGAGTCATGGCCTTCACTCATATGAAGATAAAGCCACCCCCAGATTATCTACTAGCTAGCAAAACTTCTAAACCAACATTTCCTCAGTTTAAAGGGCACCCTTGATCGGAAAAATATATAACCTTAATCCGAATTTCAACTTCTATGGTATGTTTGTAATGTAACTTGATAGATTGTTGGATGTAAGGGATAAAGTATTTCTTGTGCTCTAATATTAATAAAATTGATATTAAAAAATAAAAAAACCTCAAATTCAATTTGTACTCTTAGTTTGAGAGAAACGAGTATTAGGGGGGGAAAGTGTTGATTGTTTTTTCATGGTTCAGAAAAGGAGAAAAAATGGAGAGGAAGGAGGCTAAAACACAAACGAAAATGGAGAGGAGACTATGTAGAACACTACAACTCAAATTTCTCATTTATAAACTTTGCCTTCTGTAGCAGCAAAAGCAACCTAAAAAATATGCAAAAACTACTTCTATGTGTTTTTGTTTAGTCTAAGTAATCTTTCTACATCAAAAACTAGTAAAAAAACACAACTTTTGCTGCACGCTTGCTGTCATTTGACTGTCTAAAGTGCAACCACACAGCCCCTCATTTTCTTTGTATTGCATTGCTTTTGTATTTGTATTATAATTTGTATTTATATTTATTTTTTTAATTTATTTAGTTATTCAAATTAAAAAAAGAGAGTAGAGGGGCTTAGGTACGGTAAGTCCAATCATTCAGTAACTCTATAACAACATCGTTAAATGGGCTTAGATATGGTGACTAACTTTCTAGGACCAAGAAAATCAAATGGGCTAGGCCTGTTACAAAAAAAGGAAAAACAGAAAGAAAAGAAAAGAGAGGAGAAACTTCATCAAAGAAAAACAAGTAAAATATTTGGCACTGTCCACTTGTTCCCCGACACTGAATGGTAGTACTGTTGGGTTAAGGATTCGAACCCAAACCCGACCTTCCTTCATCTCCATCCTTAGAATTAAGATCCTGTAAATAAAAGAAAGTTAATTTTTTACGTATAATTTAAGTTCTTTTTTTTTAAAAAAAAAGGACCACATGTATTTGTTTTTACTAATCTTCTAGTATCCAAAAGTTATATTGAGTTTCAACTAAATTAAAATTGAGTCGTATCAGATCTTATAAGAGGAGAATTTCTTTTTAGCGCCTGTTTTTTTATTTATTAAACTCGAACTTGAAATCTTATTTAAAGAGAACTGAGTTCTTTTCACTCAGATCAACAAGTTGTTGGTGCCTCACGTGTTGTTAATTTATAAGAGTTAGGGATTATTTAGTATTATAATTTATAATTAATGTTAATAAATTCGTTTGAACCACTACATAATGATATTCGGCAATTTTTTTACTACAAATCACTATGTTTTTGGTATTAAATAAAATTTTTTATTTAACAATTTTATAATAGTGATTAGTGGTTAAAATCTAATTTGCTAAAATATTAAAAAAAATTGCAAAAGTAGAATTTAACCCTAAATTGCTAGCAAATTAAAAATTTTAAATTATTATAATAAATTTACTCATGAAATAATTAGATACGATAAAATATAAGTTTAAGTGTGACTACGTACTCCCTTTTCACACATAACCTTCTCTGCGTCTTCTCACAATCAGAAAACCTAAGGCCAGTTTCAAAAAAAAAAGAAAAAAAAAAAGAAGAAAACCTAAAGCCATTGAGGAGGCAAGTTTCCTGCTTTTACACTTCTTCATTAATAATTATAAATTTTCATTCATCCATTAACACCACCAGTTTCATGGTAGATTTTAGGTGAAATGTGTATTTTAGGTCATGTACTTTCTGACTTTATTAAAATTCACCTCTTTACTATTTAAAAAAAATTTTCAGTCTAACACATTTATATTGAAATATATTAATTTACATATTTTTCAATTAAAATAAATCAATCTAAATTTAACAAATAACATCATGACATGTAATATTCCTGTAAAATTCACGCTCGTTAGGGGCTTAATAATTTGGCACCAGTTGACCCCTTTTTCGTGATATGGATAAATTTTCTCTTGTGACATGGATAAGTTTTTTCAAAGCTGGACATATTTTCATGACATGGCAACACATTTGCCCACTTTTAATCTGACATGGCAACACATGGGCTCGTTTTAGATGCCCGCTTTTGATGCAATGTGATTAATTAATAATATTCAATTACAATTGTCATTATAATTATGTTAAATTACAACTCCACCCTCCAATGAAATTACAACATTGCCATCAACTTCGTCCTCTCTCTTCGCCTCCCTCTTCCTCTCCTATGCCCAGATCAGAGGTGCATTATCCATGAAATTTATTATAAACACAAACAACCAGAACCTATTCAGATCATAGCAACGTGCTGGGTTCTCAGATCCATTACCTCAAACAAAATCAATTTAACATGTGTTTACACGTTCTGGATTCCGCCATTGCGGACGATGACTGGGTTTTGATTTCACCAATTTACAAAGACCGAAGAGACAAAATTGGCAACAAATCCACAGCTAAAATCCGAAAATCATTCATTTTTTCCGCCTAGTTTCTTTCTTTCTTTCTTTCTTTCTTTCTTTCTTTCTCTCTTTCTTTCTTTCTTTCTTTTTTAAATAAGCTTCATCGTCATCATAATCAAAATGTTTTTCTTGCTTCATCATCATCTTTATGGGAACAATCAAAGAATCAAGTTTTATCATCATCTTTTGGGAGGCAAGGAGAGAGAAGTTTGAGTTTAGAAAGAAATGTAACCAAGAAAAATTGCAAGAAATATAAACAAAAACCCAGAAGAAATAAAATTGAAACAAAATCAACCAATCACCGAATCAAAATCCACGGAAAAGAAAATAAAAGGTCCAAGATCACCCATTCACATACTCAGAACCCTACGAATTACATGGCAAAACCAAGTTTCAGCAATCAAATCCAATACCCAGATCTGCTTTACTCTTCATCGACGGCCTCTAACTTTCTAGTTCGATTCAGAAGCAAGGTATCTGGGTTCCTTGACTCTCTGACTTCCTGTCCTGGGAACCCAAACTTTTTCGTGAGGGAATTTGGATTTACGGAGATCGATGTGGGAGGAGAGATAGTATAGGGAAAAGGAAAAGGGACGAAGAGAAAGGGGAAATAAAATCTACGATCAGTTACACGCCCAATTTTTCCATGGCTATGTCCCCACCATTTCATCCATATCATCAATGACCATCCCACATAGGATGTTTTATTGCCTCATCATCTAAAACTGGATCGTGTGTTAACCATGTCATCAAAATACGTCAATAGGGTTACCGAGGGCAAATCATCAAATTCTTAGCCGCTTTTAATAGATTTGATATTAATATAACGTGTCTGTTAAATTTGAATTAATTTTTTAATTAAAAAATATGTTAATTAATCTATTTTAATATAAAAATACATAAATTATAAAATTATAAAATTATGAACCTATTCTTTCGAGTCAAGTCGCTATAGTCACGTTTATAAGGTTTATATTCCTTTTTTCAAGAACAACGGTTCGAGCCGGTCCCATGACAAAATGTTTAAAAAAAAAATTATAAAATTATAAAATATAATAGAGCAACAGATTTCAATAAACGCAAAAGTACAGCGAAATAAAATACTTCTTTCATAGTGTAGTTTTTATTTACTTTAGTTAATCCATTGCAATTACTATTTTGTTTTTCTTCTTCGTGATAAATTTAATATTTTGGTTTTCCACATACAAAATATTCAATTTGCTCATATCTAATATTTGTTTTGTGTTAAGAACTTTAAAAAAGTAATTATTCTTATTTTTTTTGTTATTTATCATTTAATATTTTGATATTGATAATAAATTTTAACTATTATATAATTAAATAATTATTAAAATTAACATCATCAACCTCTTATACTGGCTATTACTCACTACTTTTCATTCCCTACTTACCATCAGCTAAATGCTTAATTTTAACCTCCGTATTAAATAATCCCTTAATTGGGGTGCTTGGTAGAGTTGTTTTTTTTAAAAAAAAATTACTTATAAATAATTTTTTCTTTCACAAATTTTCAAAACAACTAGTAGGGATTTGTGTGTTAAGTGAAAAAAATTTCTTATTGAAAAATTATAAAAAAAAAACACAAATTTAAATATAAGGACGCTTCTTCCTTCCCCTATTATCAATTGATTTTAAGTTAGATATAAGTTTTGCGCTAAACTCACATGTCCAATTTTCATATGATATTAGAGTTCTATAAGAGGTGTACACTATTTTCTCCGCCTATTGCTAAATAATTTTAAATTAGATATAAGTTTTATATTAAACTTCACATGTTTGATTTTCATATGATATAAAAGTCCCAAAAGGGGTGTACATATGTAACCAATGTTTTGATAATCAAACTAAATCGATACTTGGTTCTCAATAGTAGAAATAGTTTGGGTGAGTATCTAGAAGCATTTATGGGGTTAAGCCACTTAAAACCTTTTAAGATAATAAGAGTTAGTAAATCGTCTGATTGAACAGGTCAACTTCGTGGACAAATAAGTTGCTAGTTTTATCATCGATGGATTTCGAACCCCACACCTCATGTTACTCTAACAAACCATTTATGACTAGAGCAGCCCCTTCGAGGAATGAGTTGCAAAGAAATTAATTTAATTCATAAGAAATTCCAAAGATAAAAGAAAACCTATAGTAATTTACATAAGATTCAAACACTGGTTCTCTTGCTTCCTTAAAATTATTTCTGTCACTTGATCTAAAACATGTTCATTGACAATTATCGCCTTAAAACATATTTTTTATAATATATAAAAGAATAATTTTGGCATATTGGAGACTCAAACCTGAGCTCCTCTAAAATGCATAAAAGTTATTTGCCCAATAAAGCCACTCCAAACCCTTTTATATGGGTGCATTATATTATATTTATTCAATTAGACTAGTGATTTGACCAATCAAACCAATTAAATCATACAAACTGAAAACTAGAGGTCAAAATGGTTTAAAATTTAGTTCAGTTTTAAAAATGTTGTATGTAACACTCCTAAATAAATTCTTCATTGACAAAATACAAAAGAGATACTAGGCATATAATTTAACACCCATTAACCAATGTTGATGTGTTTTAAAATTGTGAGTTTTAATAAATCAAAATAAAAAATATTACTCGTGAGTTGGGTTATTAGATATGGTATTGAAGCCATTTCGAGTGGCTACTTGAACTTTGATAGAGCAAATCTCAATGAGGAAGTTGAAGTCCACAAAGAAGATGTATGTAACACTTCCCATTTTAAAACTATGACTCCTAATGAATCAAAACAAAATAATATTACTAGTGAGTTAGGTTGTTGTTGAGACTTGCTATGCTAAGAAATGTAACCCTAATCCTAAGCAAACAAATGTTCACCTTGGTAAAAAAAAAAGAAAAAAAAGAAAAAAAGGAGGCAAAGAGAGAGGAGAAGTTACAAGAAGGTGGAATGGGAAAAGCAACAAGAAAGGTCAAGGAAGCCTCAACCTTTACTCTCTTTGCAAATCTCTAAGTCATGGGCATAGCAATGTCTTAGTAGCTAAGAACTAGCATCTTCAAGGCGAATCTAATTAACCAGGATAACAATGACAAGCGAGAGCGGCATGTACCAGAGGAGGACTCCGACGACCATAGGACAGTGGGAGAGAGGTAGAGTCGTAGTAGATTCCAAGGATAAGAGGAAATACGAAAGGTTTTCGAAGTTCAGCAAGGAACTTTTGATGAGACAATGGTGTTATCTTTTCTCAAACTTTCTTGAGGAGTGGACTAGTAAAGAACTATGGATTCTATCTTTAAGATACTGTAAGGTGATTGATGTTCACATCTCAAGGAAGCCAGACAAGAAAGGATGAAGATACGGCTTCGTCAAATTCTTGAATGTGAATAGTTCGTCAGATTTGGAGGAAAGGCTAAAGAGAGTATGGATTGACTCTTATAATCTCAAAGCAAAGTCCATTTGCTATGGATGGAAAGAAGGAGGATTGCTTCAGTCTGGAGAAGAAAGAGTTAAGCAAAGGGTGAGTAAGGGAAAGCACTACAAAACTAAGTGGGTGGTAAAGGAACCATCAAAAAAAGACAAAGCAGTTCAAATGTAGGAGAAAGGAAGGGCCAGATAGGTGGAGAACAAATCGAGAACATTTGTAGAAGTGCTAAAAGGAGTACCAATAAGAAACACTAGTCAAAAAAGAGAGTGTGGTTTCATGTGAAGGAGGAAAAAGTAAAAGGGCAAGTGAGGAGGTGAGTAGAACTGACGCTATGCTAGAACTTGACATTGATGAAAAGGAGTATGAGAATGGCTTCAAGCTTGTGCTGTTGGCTATGTAAATTCAGAAGCAAGGATTTTGTCACTTCAGGATGCTTTCGAAATGGAAGGCTACTTTAACATAGCAATTGTGCCATTGGGAGGTACATGGTTTTATTGAAGGGTGAGGATAACAAACTAATGAAAGATTTAGTAGACTTCGAACAAGGGTGGTTCCGTAGATGGTTTGAAAGAGTAAAAATGTGGTCCGTTTTTTATATTAGTCAAGAATGATTTGCCTAGTTAAAAGTTGTTGGGCTACCACTTCATGCATGGAACGAAACTGGTTTTCAATTAATTGGAAATTAGTTTGGAAACTATATATATATATGCTGATGAAAATACTTTGAATAGACGATGCTTGGAAGCAGCAAGGATATGCATCAAGACAACTAAACAGGTGATAATAAATGATTTGTTGATTAAATGGATTAATGGTCATAAATTTAGAATCGATTATTCAAAGGAGAGATGGAGAACTGATCCACTTTGGTGGCTGCGAGGGTATGAGAATAATGAGACAGAAGAGTACAGTTTTGTTTCCAACATATCGAACTTTCTTTGCAAATCTGTTGATGTGTTTGGTGAAGAAGACATTGGAGTTGAACGTGTTAAGGCAGGTAAAGTCAAAGAGTCATTATGGAAGGGTGATTCAAGTACACAACAATTGTATTCTAGGGAAATTCAAAACATTTATGCAGAGGCATGCGCAAC